AGACACTTAAGAAAAGAGACAGCTTAAATTTCTTCGACACAGCATATGGAAGGAAGGCTTGGAGAATTTGACACCCACAGGACATACCAAAACCAAGGGGACAGATAGAGGCAGCGTGCCAACTGGCTGATGACCTTGGGTGAATGGATGCCGGAACATGTGTGTGAGAGGCTTCGAAAAGGGGCAAACGTTACGAAGATCTGTTAGAGATGAGAGGTTGTGGAGAGCCGTGATCGCCTATATCTTGAAGGTACACGGTACATAAAAAGAAGAAGAAAGGCTCGATTATATTCGAAATAAAGCAACACAGAGTCAGCTACGTGCAGTCAGAAATAAGAACTAGAATCGACCTATTTAGCGAAACTCAAACTCAGTTAATTAGTGTCGAGTAGTCCGAGGTGACAATCAAGTGGGAAGACAAATTAAACAACTTCGTTTCCCACTTCCCGTCACAAACGAACAACAAGATTGAGAAGACTTTCTCCCAACGAGATTTTGCGTGACTTGGACGTTTGCTTCTAACGTGACTACTGTGTGTCGCGTTCTTCATTTGAACAACTCAAGTACCTGGATTTATTGGCACAAGAGACATCGGCACACGTTAGTTGATGCCATTTATCAACAACAAATCATTTGTTTTCAACTTTTTATTTTTAATCTAAAAAAAAACATCATTTGGGGATTGATTACATTATGTCACTCTGAAAAGAAACACAATTTGAGTTCAAGGTAAAAAGGATAAAATTAGCCGCTATTTTCATCGAGCAGCCAGTACTACTGTCGGTAGAAATGTATAAAATATTTCTATTAAAAACAATTTTTTAAGAAAATAGATTTCTCGAATTCAGTTGCTGTTATCACTCTTTTAAGTATTGATGGGGGTTTCCTTCCTAACCTTATGTTTGAAGTGCTGTGGAACATCAACATCTTGATTGTTATTATTTTCCTTTTGAGTTACATATGCTATCCATTTTAGTTGTTGCTGTGTTAAGGGGTCCACCCCTTTTTATACAAGTGGACTCGCCCAGTGTGTACTCGTACTGCTGCCGGTGAATACTCGGGAGTGAGGTAGTGAAAGAGTGAGAGTGTGAGGTAACCGCTTTGTAGGAGTCACATTTGCGAGCACGTAGACTCAGAAGGAAGTCTTACTTCGATACTGAATTTCCCAGGCTGTATATATATATATTATTGCTACTAACCGCATTTCTGGATCTACTAACCGTATTACCAATTGTATTATTACGTCAATACATTTATTTGCTATATTTCTTTCCTGCGTTTGTCATTCATTTGAGACCGGATTTCATCCCGGAATCCACAACATGCTGTTATTGAAAGTCCTCAATTAATGTAGTTTTTATTATTTGGTACAGTTCTCTATGATACTTTGGTGCTAGTCTATGATATTAAAAGAAGGATGGTCCTCACTAAGACCTACAGGCTTCATTCGCTGAATGCCATTTTCATTCATTGACAAAGTCACTGTATAGAATTGACAGTTTAGATATTTCTGAAAACCATGTAAAAATCTTTATGAAATTTTCCTTTTTTGATGAAGACTGTAAATTTTATAAAATTTTTTTTAGAAAGGTTAATGTTTTTTTTTTAGAAACTTGAAAAACAAAATGAATTATTTTGAGCTCAGCCATTCTATGTTCAATTAATTTATTCTTTTTGAATATTATTCTTTCATTCAATATAATTGGTAATTACTAACTTATATGGTAATGATAATTTTAATGTTTTTTTTTATAAAAGAAACACTCAGCCTTCATTGATTGAGCAATACTACTCGAGTTAGGCTTTTTTCATTCTCTTTATTTAATTTAATTGGAATCAAAGTGTAGGATCTGTTAAAAAAAAATCAAAATGTTAGCCATTCTTTTTATGAAGAAACATACGGTATTCATTAAATCAAGCATTCAATTCTAGCATTCCTTGAAATTTATAAAAATTTTTCTAATTGCATTTTTTTTTCAGGAAAATCTTTTCCCTAGTTCAGTTATTATTATTATTTCCTTTCTAATATTGATGGAGGTTTCCTTCCTAACCTTTTGTTTGAAGTAGTATGGAAAGTCAACATCTTTAGTTAATGTTTAAAAAACAAAGCAACTTTGGTATAATTTTGAAAATAATGTTTAGCACAGCTTATTCTATGTTCAGTTTATTATTTACATTATTCAAAACTGTTTTCCTTATTGAAATTTACGTTTCAGCCGTTGTAAATAACCTTCTTCAGGTGATGGTTATATTAGCCGTTTCAAGGAAACAGTTGGCAGTCACAACCAATACAACTTAAAATTTTTTTTAAAACAATTTTTCAGGAAAACAGGTTTCTCAGTTTGACTACGTGTTATACCTCTTTCCAGTACTGACCAATTTTTTCTTTTCTAACCTTTTGTTTGATCACCCTTTGTGGAATGTCAACATCTTGATTATCATAGTGGCATTATAGCTTTGCTTGGGGCAAAAATTCTTTTTTGACATTTTTTTTTCGCCCTGTATATATAAATTTTCAATCCTTAATTGAAAAGTTCTCTTCCTTGACCTTGAAGTCAGTTTTTAACTGAAAAAATGGTAAGAAATTTCCTTTTAAAAAAAGTCAATTTTATGGCATAAAAATGTAAATAATAGTAATTATCCGTTTTCTTAGTTAATGCTGTTTGCTGTTTTATTATAATTTTTTTCTTCTTCCTAAAACTTTTATCAAAGTGATGTGGAATGTCAATCTAAGGAGTAAGAGGCTAATTTGTTAGCCAGGGATGGTGAGTTCAATCCTAGATATAGCATAGTTAACATGAAAGACAAGCAAACCTAACTACTTCTACTATTATAAGGAAACATTTGGCATTGAAATTTTAAAAAAATCTTTCCCTTAAAACAAGTTTTCAGCAAAATAAGTTTTCAGCAAAATAGTTTTTTCAAATCTACTGTTATTGCTTTTGCCAGTATTAATGACGGTTTCTTTTCTAACTTTTTGTTTGAAGTCGTGTAGAATGTCAGCACCTTGTACATTATTTACATAACTATTATTTACGATTGTCCTCATTTTTTCGCCATGTTTATCACAACGTTTCGACCGTTGTACGCCCCGGCCTTCTTCAGGTGGTTGGAATGTCGAACTGAACCCTTTATTTCGCTCGCTGGGGTAGACTGTTCTAGTTCCACGTGCCATGTTTGATGGATATCAGTTATCTCCTGTTAATTTCCCTCTCCAAATTCTCCACTGCCTTAACCAGGTATTGAACTCACAACTCTTTGGGTCCTGTCACTGGATCTAACTAACGCCTTTATCCAGTGTACCATGTGTCCTTGAGGACCAACCACTTGACGAAATAGTAATACCTCATCTCAGAAATATAGACAGATACTGATAAATTTATTATATCTAAAAAATATCTATTATATAACATATAAAATAAAATTACAATTAAAAAAACACAATTTATTATTGTCATATTTCTTATGAAAAATTATTTGCAATGCTTTTCTATCCTTTTAAAATATGTGCTTTTAGGAAGTCTGTGATCATGGCTCTCCACAACTTCTTATCTTTTATTTCTCAAAGTAGCACTGGGCTTTTTACCATTCCTTTTTTGTGTTTGTGGTCCTTATTCTCTCTCTTTGCTTCTCTTACTTTCATTATTCCTTGTGTGTGTCAAATTCTCTTAGCCTTCTTTCCTCATTATGTGTTCCCTACATTTTAACTGTTAATTTCTTATTTATGTACACTATTTACTTTATTCGGACTATTGTCCTCATCTTTGTAGCCATGTTTATCACAACGTTTCGGCTGTTGTACGCTCCGGCCTTCTTCAGGTGGTTGGAATGTTGAACTGAACCCTTTATTTCGCTCACGCTCGTAGACTGTTCTTGTTTTACGTGCCATGTCTAATGGATAGCCACTGTGCCATGTGTCCTTGAGGACATCTGTGTATGAATTCCTGGGTATTATAAACCTAATGTCTTTTCTATTTTCTCTTTATATTTATATATTCTCTATTTTCTTTGTCCTTGTTCCTTTCAAAACCACAAAAAGCTGCTTTTCTATCTATTTACATTATTCGGAATATTGTCTTCATCTTTGTCACCATATTTATTACAACGTTTCGGCCGTTGTACGCTCCGACCTTCTTCAGGTGGTTGGAATGTCGAACTGAACCCTTTATTTCGCTCACTGGGTTAGACTGTTCTAATTCCACGTGCCATGTTTTTAATGGATGTCAATTATCAGTTACCTCCTGTTAAGTGATATAGTTTCTGCTAATTTCTGCTGTTCTTTGTGATCATGTAGCGCCAGTCCACAAGGATGGGCTTTGTTGTTATCCCTCTTTCCAGTATTAATAAAGGTTTCCTTTCTAAACTTTTGTTTAATGTCGTGTTATTTACTTGACCTCCCGACAAAAGTAGGGTGTGACACAAGGTATTTTTATGTGGGGAGCTCCTACAAGTTCATATGGACCAATGACAAAAAAAGGACCCGACCCCACGACTGCTGTCACGCTGTTGTCGATATTACATCAATTCCTCCTCTATTCGTGCAATGAGGGAGGTGATGTCGCTTGGTTGGAATCCCTGAGCCCAGCATCCTACTCTAAACTATAATGTGGAGAACAGATACAATGCTTTGATCCCGGCTCTAATGAAAGGGAACGAGGAATGATACAAAGGAAAAAAGGAATTTCACCTGACATTTTAATACTGGTTAGAAATAAATTCCAAGTGATTTAGAAGATTTTATGACGTCAAAGTCAAAAAGAACTGATTACTTTTCAATCAGGCCAACAAGCGATTTTTGTCGACAAGACTTTGCCAAAATAAGTAGACAAATCATTGATTGTTGATCAACATTATTCGAGGTTAGCCTTTAATATGCCTCATTCCTTGGTCCCTAGACCAGCATACTTAATCTTTTTTCTTTATTCAAGTTTTTTATGTGTCTTTTATCATCTCGATTTCTATCCATCTATCATTCCGAGTATGTGAATCTATCTATCTAG